TTTAATAGAAGAAAGTATTCTTGTGTTGAGGGAGTACTTGAGTGGAGGCCCAATGTCCATCTGCTACCTTAATACTAAACCTATAACTATGTGCACATAGATCTATTTCCCCATCCTCATATACATATATTTGCATATGTACATGCCTGTATTTAGGAGGGCCTTCCTCTTTTTCTCTGCCCTTCTCCAGGGTCTGGACTCTCCTGACAGCATGTCCAAAGTCCTGAGATGACCCTTGTCTCCAAGGCGCGCTCTAGCTGCCCTTCCTTCAAGGCAGATCGGGGGTGCTTTGAGCAGTCCGTGGCACTTTCCACGTTCTTCCCAGCACCACAACTCAAACGCACTGCTGCTTCTTCAGTCTTCCCCGTCCACTGTCCGATCGCCACATGGGTCAACGTAACATCCTTGCTTTTCAACACTCCACAAAGGTCTTGTGCGGCAGACTGACCCAATAAAATGCACCTTTTGATCTCCTGACTGCTACTTCCATGAGCATTGACTGTGGATCCAAGCAAGACGACATCCTTGACAGTTTTCATCTTTTCCCCATTTATCATGATATTACCTATCAGTCCAATTGTGAGGATTTTGGTTTTCTTTCAATTGAGTCATCATCCAGACTAAAGGCTACAATCCTTGATCTTCGTCAGCGAGTGCTTCCTCCTCGCTTTCAGCAAGCCAGGTGGTGTCATCTGCATACCGCAGGTCATTAATAAGTCTTCCTTGATGCCACATCCATCTCTATATAATCCAGCTTCTCCGGTGATGTGCTCCGCATGCAGTTTGAACAGGTATGGTGAGAGGAGACAGCCCTGAGGCCCACCTTTCCTGATTTTAAACCGTGCAGTCCTCCCTTGCTCTGTTCACACAGACACCTCTTGATCCCTATACAAGGACCTCATGAGCACAATGCAGCGTTCTGGAATTCCCATTCTTCGCAAGGCTATCCATAGTTTATGAACCACACGCTTGCATGTCTTTTCATAGTCAATGGGACACAAGTAAAAATCTTTCTAATATTCTCTGCTTTCAGCCAAGATCCATCTGACATCAGCCATGATATCCCTTGTTCCACGTTCTCTTCTGAATGTAACCTGAACTTCTGGCAGCAACCTGGCAATGTACTGCTGCAATCATTGCTGGATGATCTTCAGCAAAATTTTACTTGCGTGCGATATCAATGATATCATTCTGTGGTTTGAGCATTCTGTTGGGTCACCTTTCTTTGGAGGAGGGCACAAATCTGGATCTCTTCCAGTCAGTTGGTTGAGTAGCGGTCTTACAAATTTCCTGGCATAGACACGTGAGTGCTTCCAGGGCCGCTTCAGCTTTTCGAGACATTTCAGGGGTTATTCCGTCAATTCCTGGGGCCTTGGTTTGGGCTGATGCTTTCAGTGCAGACTGAACTTCTTCCTTCAGTACCATAGGTTCTTGCTCTGATGCCACCTCCTGAAATGGTGGACTGTCAACTAGTTCCTTTGGTACAGTGACTCTGTGTGTTCTTTCCGCCTTATCCTGATGCTTCCTTAAATATTTTGCTCATAGAATCCTTCAGGATTTCAACTCAAAGCTTGAATTTCTACTCTTGAGTTTTTTCAGCTTCAGACATGCTGAATGTGTCCTTCCCTTTTGTTTTTCTAATTCTAGGTCTTTGCACATTTAGTTATGATATTTGACTTTGTCTTCTCAGGCTGCCCTTTGAAATTGTCTATTTAGCTCTTTGACTTCATCCTTCCTTCCATTGGCTTTAGCTGCTTTAAGATTAAGAGTGCATTTCGGAATGTCTTCTAACAACCACTTTGATCTTTTCCTTCTTTCTGTCTTTTTACTGACCCTTTGCTCTCTTCCTGAACAATGTGCTTGGTGTCCTCCCAGAGCTCATCGGGTCTCTGTCAATAGTGTTCGATGCGTCAAATCTGTTCTTGACACATTCCTGAAATTCAGGTGTGATAGACTCAGAATTGAAATGCTGATTCTCATAGACTTGTTTTAATTTTCTTTTGCATTGATAATTATTGGAGACTGAAATGCATACATTGGAGACAAAGAGGAAGGATCAGTAATTGGAAAATATGGACTTGGTGATAGAAATGAAGCTGGAGATCACCCGAGAGACTTCTGCAAAACCAAGGACTTGCTCCTAGCAGACACCTTTGCTCAGTAACATCAGGTGCATGTGTACTAACCCAGATGGAACACACAGAAATCAAAGGGACTCCGTCTATGGGAAGAGACGATGGAAAACCTCAGTAGCAGCAGCTAAAGCCAGACCAAGGGCCAACCATGGAACAGATGATCCATTGCTCGTATGTAAGTTCAGGATCACATCTGCAAGACCCCTCTATTGCCGTCTAAGGTGACGTCCCAGGTCCAGGCATTAGGTCATGGTTATCTCTTGGAGAATCTTTGTTCAACCTAGCCCAGCTCTTGGAACTGCCAAGTTTAGAGGCAGGGTGCTTTCCAGGGAAGGCTTGATCTAGTGGCTCAGCGAGAGCCGGCATACAGCTCATTCCATCTATTAGCTGCCTTTATCCAGAAGCTTCCAGGGGCCTTCTACATTCACGCCCACTCTGGAAGAAGAGCGTTATCTCTGTCTCAGCATTCCTGGTCAAAGTCCAGGATTCCCTCTGATCGGATCAGCTCGGGTCCCTGGGCTGATCATGGAGGCATGGGGACAATGTGTATGGTAGGTCTAACCTATGTCATGTGCTCCGTTCCTGGAGCCCCGGGGTTTGGGAGTCTGCTGCCCAGAGGCAAGCTAGATACTGCAGACGCCAATGTTTACTGGACTCTGGGTCCCCCCACAGAGTGGGAGGACCAGGGAACAATGACCCGGAGTTGTACCCTCTTGGGGAGTGGGAGCCTCCTTCAGCCAGCTGCAGGACGCCCGTTGGGCTGGTTCCAGAAGACAAAGGGGTGGGTGGGGAGAAGCAGAGGCCCATGAGGTACGCAGGGCCTTGGGGTACACAACACTTCCAACCTGAGTCTTAGCAGGGAGTGGAGGGGGCGTGTGCTTAGCAGCTTAGGAGG